GTAGGGGACGTTAATGGTTTGTCTAACCACATAATGGCCCGCTGCAGTCTCACAACGAGAGTGACTTCTCTCTTTCTTGACCCGAACACAGAAAAAGCCAGGTGCAGTCCCGTGTCTTTTCCATGCATTTCTTACAAACAGCACTTAAGACCTTCCTGTAGGGGAGTCAATGGGTTTGTCTAACCACATACTGGCCCAGAGCACTCTCTCCAGACGAAGGGGAAACTCCATCCAGCTCCCAAAAACAACGTAACAGACCGTGCTGCCTTCTCCTCTCATCTACACACTAACTCACGATCAACTCTTTTATTCCTTCCTCCATCTTCCTTCTATTTTCTTACTCTATCACTTACTCTACCACTTACTCTCATCTTTCCTGACCACTTACCTTAACCCCTGAGGACTGGAGCGACGCGCTCCAATTACCTCCGACACGCGCCATAACTTCCGGGAAATTCCCCCAAAACCCTGTGTGACTAGAGTGACGCGCGCCACCTGTCAGCTGCCCAACATGACCTCCCCTCTTTCCTGTCCACATACCCAAACACTACACTCTCACACGCGCCAAAACTTCCGGGAAATTCCCAAAAGCCTGTGTGACTAGACACCCGCGCCCCACCTGTCAGGTGAGAGCGTCCGAAACTTCCGAGAAATTCCCCCAAAACACGGTGTGACTAGAGCGACGCGCGCCACCTGTCGGCTGGCACTCCAAGGAGTGCCACCTGGCAGCTGGCGCGCGCGTCGCTCTAGTCACATATTTCACTACTCCTTCCTCTTCGGCCTCCTCCTTTTCCTCCTCGCTCGCCTCCTCCTTCCTCCTCGCTCGCCTCCTCCTCCTCCTTGCTCTCCTCCTCCTCCTCCTCGTCCTCCTATTCCTTCCTTCTTGTCCTCCTCTTTCCTCGCCCTCTTCCTCCTTCCTCCTTGCCCTCCTCCACCTCCTCCTTCCTCGCTCTCCTCCTCGTTCCTTCTCGCCTTCCTCCTTACTCCTCACCCGCCTCCTCCTCCCTCTCCCTCCTCGCTCTCCTCTTCCTCCTTCCTCCTCCTCCTTCCTCGGCCTCCTCCTTCCTACTCGCCCTCCTCCTCCTCCTTTCTCCTCGCCCTCCTCCTCCTTTCTCTTCACCCTCCTCCTCCATCCTCAATGCCCTCCTCCTTCCTCCTCGCCCTCCGCCTCCTCCTTCCTCCTCGCTCTCCTCCTTCCTCCTCGCCCTCCTTCTCCTTCCTCCTCGCCCTCATTCTTCCTCGCCCTACTCCTCCTCGCCCTCCTCCTCAACGTCCTCTTTAACTTCCTCCTCTACCTCATCCTCCTTCCTCCTCTGCCTCGACCTCCTCCTCCTCCTTCCTCCTCTGCCTCGACCTCCTCCTCTTTCCTTCTCGATCTCCTCCTCCTTCCTCCTCGACCTCATCCTCTTACCTGGAATTCTTCCTCCTCGACCTCTTCCTAAGAATATGAGTAAAAATTATTAATTAACCTTTATTATGACCCTGTTTCTTTTTACTAAATGTAGAAATATACTTTTATATTTCTTCATTTATATAAATAACATCAATAAAAAACTACGTATATGAAACATTTAAGGTTGCCACAAGGTTTTAAATTTTATATATATATATATATATATATATATATATATATATATATATATATATATATATATATATATATATATATATATATATATATATATATATATATATATATATATATATATATATGTCGATTCCTTCTGAAGATGTATTTAATATACGAAAGTACTTAAGGAAATTCCTGTTTCATTTTCCTCCGTGGTCTGACATTGTCATATATATATATATATATATATATATATATATATATATATATATATATATATATATATATATATATATATATATATATATATATATATATATATATATATATATATATATATATTATCTACTCCACCAGCTACCAATCCATCCATTTATCCATCTACTCCTCCTGTTATCAATCCATCCAGAAATCTATCCATCTATCAGTCCATCTATCTCGTCATATCTATCAATGTATCCATCTATCTCGACCTATCAATCAGTCTGTCTGCCAAACTATTTATCAATCTATCTGTTCAATTTTGTATCCATCCATCTAATAAAGAATCTTTCCATTTATCCTTCCATCAACACATCTCGCCACCCATATAATCACCTATTTATCCATCTATCAATCTTTTAGTCTATCCACACGTCCATTAATCCATCTACCCACTCATCTGTCTATTTATCTCTACCCCTATCTATCTAACAATCTGTCCCTTTATCCATCCGTCAATCCATTTAACTATCTATCTATATAGATATACATCTATCAATTCATCTACACATTTATCCATTCATCTACAATCGTAAGTTTTCCATCTATCCATTCACACTTTGAATGTCCATCTCTCTTTCTACCAATCCATCTTACCATCAATGTAATTTGTGTCCATCCATCAGTGTAACCATCTATCAATTTATCTATCCATCTAGTTTTGTTTTCATCTATTCACCTACCATTCTAACTATCTACATCTCTGTCTGTCAATGCGTGTATTCATTTTTATCTATATACCTTTCTATCCACTTATCCATATTGCTTGCAATCCAACTAGCTTTTTACCAATCTATTTATGCATCTATCTATCCATGCCCCCACTCATCTTTCTATTCATCTCTCCATCCAATTATCTTTCCATCGATCTATTTGTCAATTCAACTGTCTGCCTATCCATCCATTTATCTATCTACTCATCTTTCTACCCATATATCCATCCATCTATCTATCCACCTACTCATCAGTGTATCCATCTATAAATCCATCAATCAATCTATCCATCTACCTATCCATCAACCCATCCACTTATCTATCTATCTGCTGTCCGTCACTGTCTACCTCTCTGTCTCTATCTTTAGGTGTGTCTGTCAGTCTCTCTGTTTCTGGGTCCCTATCTCTGTCATTCTCTCTTTATGTCCTTATATCTGTCAGTCTGTGTTCCTGTATTTCTATCTGTCTGTCTGTCTGTCTGTGTGTCTCTCTCTCTGATAAACAAAATAATTGTCAATGTGTGGTGGTCAGCAGTGCGAGTTGTTCAGTGGTGTGAACTACAAAATGAATAGTTACCCCCTTACTCTGATAAAGAACAGAGGAGAGGAGAAACCTTTGATGCACTGGAAAAATTATTGACAACAAGAAATTTCTGTTAATTTTCCTAAGATCAGTGAGAAATGGCCCATATTACCTTAATGCTTTTCTATAGAGTTTTGATGATTCATAGCTGTGTAGCCGTCCGACACGGCCAAAAATCGTCGTGGAAGGATCTGAATGTGGCACTGGCACACTGTTAATTTTTAAGTCTTGAGACCTCAACTAGCCTATGTTCATCCCGTTCCCCAGACCATCCCCTCTGCCAAATTGCGTGAGTCTAGCCCTAACCGTGTGGCCTCCAAATTTTAACAGTCGAAGGTTCTTTCCTATAGCATGTAATAGAGGGATAACCCGGCGTTGCCCGGGTCTGTTTGTGTGTGACTCTCATCTGTCCATCTAAATATCCCACTATTTATCTCTATTTGTCTATCAATTCGTTTGTCAATCCATCCATCTGTCTAGCTATCCATCTTTCTCTACATCTATATGTTGGTCAATCTATCCAACAATCTTACCAACTATCTATCCATCTATATACTTAAAAATCAATGCATTCATTTATCCATCATCTCCCCATCTTGCCATCCATAAAATCATCTTGTTATCGATCTATGAATCCGTCTATCTACCTGTCCATCAATCAATCCATCCTTCCACCCATTCATCTATCCATTTATCTATATGTCTATCCATCAATCCCTCATTAAATCTTTTTGTCCATCAATCCATATATATCAAAATCTATCTTTAAATCCACCCTTTGTGCAACCATCTATCATTCAATCTATATATCCATCTAGCTTTTTATATATCTATCCATCTAGCTTTCTATCCACCTATCTGTTAATCTATTTATCCATATATTTATATATCTAGTCATCTATCTAAATATGCACCTAATCATCCTCCTACCCATCCAACTGCTTTACATCTATCTGTTCATCTATCTTTTCGTCTATCCATCCATCTACCTTTCTATGTATTTATCCCTTCATTCATCTACTTATCTGTGTATCCATTTATCTATCAATGCATTTATTCATCCTCTTATCCATCTATCCATCCACCTATATCCGTCCATCTCTCAATTGTCTATATCTCTGTTTCTGCCCCTCTCTTTCTCTTTCTGTGTCATAGACAGAGGACAGGCAGAGAGAGAGTCTGTTTCTGCCTGTCTATCTCTAGCTGTGAGTCTGAGTTTCTGTTTGTCTCTGTCTTTCTCTGTATCTGTCTTTACCTGTTTTTATCTCTCTTTTTTGTCTGTCTGTCTCTTTCTCCTATAAAAAATACAATTGTCTTTGTGTGGGTGGTCAGCAGTAAGAGGAGCGCTGTTGTGTGAAATACTAAAAAACTAATAGCTCCCCCTTAGTCTGTTAGTAAGCCGTTGGTCGAAACCTTTGATATTGTGTAAAGATCGTCTGTTTTATGGGATTACGGGCAAATTATTGACAGCAAAAAGTTTCAGTTAATTTTCCCGAGATCAGTGAATAATGCTGCATATTACCATATGAAAATAATTATTTGAAAAATTTGTTTTGAAAATATTTAGCTGCATAATTAGCTGACAGTGCCAAAAATCATCATGGGGGTGTGAATAGGCCACTGGCACGTATTCCCTTTTACATTTTGGTGACACCGACCAGCCTATGTTCATCCCGTTTCCCAAACCATTCCCTCCTACAATTTGGGTAAGGCTAGCCCCATCTGTGTGATCTCTGACTTTCAACAGACTAGCAGACATTATCTCTTATGGTACTGATTATAAAATATAAATATTGAATTTTGTCACATGATACGTGCAGTGTGCTATGTTGCATTGCTATATAATGTTGGAATGCATATGTGTAACTTTTACCATCATTATGTTTAGCGTTGACGTCTGCTCCAGCGTCGAGGAGGACCTTCACAGTGTTGTCGTGACCACAGTCGGCTGCCCCGTGAAGGGCTGTCCAGCCTGTCAACAGATATCACAATTGATATTATGCATAAACCATCACGATTCCAATACTTTCTGTAAATTATTAAAATAAGCTGTTCTATTTTTTTTTATATACTAGTTACGTGTTCCGACTCTAAATATTTTGTAAAACAGTTTTCACCCTAAATTTAAAAGAGGAAGATCGTGATAATTTTTTAACAATAGACCATTAAAATACCCGACATCCAACCAGTTCCTATTTGACAATTAATTACTTGTGACGAGAGCGACAGTGGTGCTACTGTCAGGCCCGAAACGCTAAGTGTATTAGTGGCTTGAGGCATAGTATATACTTACCCTTCCTAGAGATCCAACATTTTTCTCGTATACCATTTTGTATGTATGTGATTTTCCCCTAATAAATATTATTATTATTATTTTAAATATTAACATTATTATTATTATTATTATTATTATTATTATTATTATTATTATTATTATTATTATTATTATTATTATTATTATTATTATTATTATATACATAAGAAGAGCATTATGCAGGATGCAGCAATAGCTGACCAACCAACAATAGCTGACTTTTCAAGGGTGAACCGATACCTCCAGTCTTGCCATCGTCAGTTAACCAATATAACCTTTATAAGCTTCATACACCATAAACCTTGGCAATAAAATGTTAGTAATACTAGCTCGAGGCAAGATAAACATTGTTGCCATCACCATACAACCAATATAACCATAAATGGTAACTGATGATATTTGAGAATGGCTGATGGAGGCACGAGGAACATCGTTGTCGTCATCAGTTAACAATGACCTTCACAGATACTCTGAACACCACCATTCGTTATCTTACCATGCAAGCTTAAGGCATGAACAACACTGGGTTACGCCTTACAAATATTATTATAATATAGGTTATCTTGCTTCACTAGTTGGCATCTAACTGACTTGAGAAAAGAGCAACATTGTGTTATCATTGTCAGATAACAAGATAATCAATGCGGATATCCTGCATCAACCAAATTGATATATGATCACACAAGTCTCTTTCAACTTGTGGGGCTCCAGACCCCCTTGTCCCCACCGGTCCCCCTCCGCAGAAAGTAATAAAAAGAAACACTAAAACAATACCCCCAACTGACACCTCTGTGATGCCAATGGCACCATAATAAGTCACCTAACCACGTTTAATGTTTTGTAGGATGTGGCCATGTTGAATTAACATCAACAAGAACTTGTTGGCATATACCACATCTACTGCATAACCCGTAAGGAAGTCCTCTCTCAGTTATATTCTCTCAGGTGACCCACCACCCACTCTCAGTTTATTGTTTCCCAACTCGATTTTATCTTAAAATTAACGTAACTAGCCAGATATCTGAATTTTCTCTCAAGAATTATCAGATCCACAGAGGCAAGGAGTGAATCATCTTAGTCTAAAAGAACTGTAACATCTAATTAACAAAAATATATTAAAACGATAGTGGATGGTACCTCAGTGTTACCCTTCGACTCTCTACCTGAATCTTATCACCAGAATAGTGCTAAATGAACTAATTTATGTAAACATCTTCCCTGCAATTAGAGCAGCTCTCATTGAAAATATCCATTACCAATATGTCTTCAGAGTTAACTCTGGGATGCAGCTTCCACTCCCTAAATATAGTGATCAGGGATGGATAAGTTAATAAGTACAAGTACGTATATATTCAGTAGCTACAAGAACAAAATGTATGGTTAATACATACATAATAACAATGTTCTCGGTATTTCTACACTCTTGCAAGGTGGTTATCTTTAAAGACATTCAATATAAGAGTTCACAAGATTACAACAGTACACCGAAATATAATACTAATAATGATGACCATCAACACGTCACTGAGCCTCTACCTCACATCCCACAATACTACCACATACCCCAAACCCATACTACAAAACCCCAATATAATAATACACACCCCACCACACTACCACACACCCCCACCACACTTCCACACACCCCCACCACACTTCCACACACCTCACCACACTACCACACAACCCACCACACTACCACACCCCATCACACACCCCAAACCAATACTTCATAGCCCCACCCCCAATACTACACAACCCACCACACTACCACACACACCCCCACACTACCAAGTCCCCCGCAAGAACAAATAGGTGAGTACAAATACGTGAGTACACAGCCCAACCACACTACCACACACCCCACCACACTACCACACAACCCACCACACTACCACACAACCCAACACACAACCACACACACACCACATTACTACACAACTCCACCACACAACTACATATCCCACCACACTACCACACAACCCCACCACACTACCACGCACTCCACCACACTACCACACACCCCACCAAACTACCACACAACCCCACCACACTACCACACACACCACAACACTACCACACACCCCACCACACTACTTCACAACCCCACCACACTACCATACACCCCACCACACTACCACACACCCCACTACACTACAAAAAACCCACCACACTACCACGCATCCCTCCACAGTACCACACCCCCCCACACTACCACACACCCCACCACACTACAACAAACCCACCACACTACCACACCCCACCACACTACCACACTACCCCACCACACTACCACACCCCACCACTCAACCACACATCCCACCTCGCTTGCACACACCCCACCTCGCTTGCATACACCCACCACACTACCACCACACTACCACATTCCCCACTACACTACTACACACCCACCACACTATCCCACCACACTTCCACACACGACTACACAACCACACTTCCCACCACACTACCACACACCCCACCACACATCCAAACAACCCAACTACACTACCACACACCCCACCAAAGTACCACACACCCCACCACGCTATCACACAACCCCACCACACTACCACACACCCCACCACACTACCAAACACCCCACCACACTACCACACACCCCACCTCGCTACCACACACCCACCACACTACCACTCACCCATCACACTACCACACACCCCACCACACTACCACCACACTACTACACTACCACTACCACACCCCACCACACATCCACACACCCCACCTCGCTTGCACACACCCCACCACACACCCCACCACACTACCACATTCAACACTACACTACTAAACACCCACCACACTATCCCACCACACTTCCACACACCACTACACAACCACACTTCCCACCACACTACCACACACCCCACCACACATCCAAACAACCCACCACACACCCAACTACACTACCACACTCCCCACCAAAGTACCACACACCCCACCACGCTATCATACAACCCCACCACACTACCAAACACCCCACCACATTACCACACACCCCATCACACTACCACACACCCCACCTCGCTACCACACACCCACCACACTACCACATACTCATCACACTACCACACAACCCACCACACTACCACACCCCACCATACAACCACACACCCCACCTCGCTTCCACACATCCACCACACTACAACACACACCCCACCACACTACCACACCACCCACCATACTACCCCACCACACTACCACACCTCACTATACAACCAAACACCCCACCACACTACCACACACCCCACCACACTACCAAACAACCCACCACACTACCACACACCCCACCACACTACCACACACCCCACCACACTACCACACACCCCACCACACTACTACAAACCCCACCATACTACCACACACCCCACCACACTAGCACACACCCCACCACACTACCACACACCCCCACCACACTCCCACACATCCCATCACACTACCCCACACCCCACCACACTACCACACATCCCCACCACACTACCACACACCCCACCACACTACAACAAACCCACCACACTACCACGCATCCCTCCACAGTATTACACCCCCACACTACCACACACCCCACCACACTACAACAAACCCACCACACTACCACACCCCCCACCACACTACCACACTTCCCCCACCACACTACCCCACCACACTACAACACCCCACCACACAACCACACACCCCACCTCGCTTGCACTCACCCACCACACTACCACACACCCCACCACACTAACACTTTCCCCACTACACTACTACACACCCACCACACTATCCCACCACACTTCCTCACACCACTACACTACCACACACCCCACCACACTACCTCACTCCCCACCTCGCTACCACACACCCACCACACTACCACACACCTATCACACTACCACACACCCCACCACACTACCACACACCCACCACACTACCACACCCCTCACCACACTACCACTCTACCCCACCACACTACCACACCACACCATACAACCACACACCCCACCTCGCTTCCACACACCCACCACACTAAAACACACACCCCACCACACTCCCACATCCCTCACCACACTACCACACCACCCACCATACTACCCCACCACACTACCACACCTCACTATACAACCAAACACCCCACCACACTACCACACACCCCACCACACTACCAATCCACCCACCACACTACCACACACCCCCACCACACACCTCACCACTCTACCACACACCCCACCACACTACCACACACCCCACCACACTACTACGCACCCAACCATACAACCACACACCTTACCACACTAGCACACACCCCACCACACTACCACACACCCCCACCCCACTCCCACACACCCCATCACACTACCACACACCCCACCACACTACCACACATCCCCACCACACTACCACACACACCGCACTACCACACACCTCACTACACTACCATACTGACACACTACCCCACCACACTACCACACAACCCACCACACTACAACACCCCCACCACACTACCACACAACCCCACCACACTACTACATATCCCACCACACTACCACACACCCCAGCACACTACCACACACCCCCAGCACAATACTTCAAAACCCCAACACACTACCACACACCCCACAACACTACCACACACCCCACTACACTGCCACAACCCCAAG